TTCTGATGTGTAACCGGGTGACCGCGATGGCTCAGCAAACAAAATTTTTTGGGGATTGAGATCCAACGATGGATCTTTTTTTTTTGAAATCTTTATTCACTTGTAGATTTTTGGGTTTTGTTTCCACCACTGCCTTGTGGTACTTGAAAACATATCAAATTCCAGGAGCCGTCGCCCAGTTTGAACTTTTTTGGATTGTTGCACGGTTTCATTTTGTTAAATACCCTCGTTAAAAGTTTACATTGCGTAAACTCGTACCAAAATCGAGTCCAAAGAATTGTGACGAAAATTCAGGGGAGGTATTCGTTGGATTACACTGCATTTCCGATTTGACCGTTTGTAACGTCTCTGAAATTTGAGAACGAATCCTGGTTTTCCTCTTCTGGAAATTCTTTAAAATTCAGTAATTATTTTCCTGAGCTTTAAATTTTGAAAGGCATTTCTCTTTTTTAGTCTCATCTAAACTAAAATAGGTTGGGGTTTGGGGGAAATGAATAGGGATTTTGGTTCTCATGCGCCCTAGTCCTTTGTTGATGCTGTCGTTGTCTTTGTTGTTGTTGTTTTCTAGTAGATTCTTCTCTTTGATATTTCGGCTTTTTTTTTGGAGTTTTTTTCGTTTTTTCCATAAAGAATTGGATCTAATTCTCTCTCCCTTCTTTTCAGTTTCAATAATCGTTGAGCCTGTAACTGTTTTTTAAAAGGGAACCATGTCCAACACTGATGGCTCGACTGTAAAATAAACCCCAAAAGTCGGAGAAAACCCGTATTTATAATATAAGTCACAATGCATAGGTAAGGTGGCTACTAGAGCGTGTACAGAGACGTACACAGTACGATCAAAACTAAGCCCAACCTATTTTTTAACACCCTAAACAAACCAAATCATATATAAACCAGAGCTGGAAAATTTCCTTGCGTGAGCACTTGGAACTCGACAGACAAAAAAAATTCAGTGGTCAAGTCAGAGGTATGAACCAAGGTATGCGGTTTATTGAGAATACTGAAAAATGGACCGTGGAGGAAACCCTAGAAAAGCCAGGAGGATTACCATAAAACCCATTCAGAAGAATCTAAAAAAAACTTTTTTTGGAAAATTTTAAAAACCAAATTTTTCCTTCCCCCCTTTAAAAAAATTTTTAAAAAAAAAATTTGAAAAAATGTTGTAAAACATTTTTTAAATGAAAGGGGTTTGCATTAAAATGATTTAGAAGCCTTTTCTGATGGACTTGTTTCAGAATCCAATATATCGCATATCGCTTTAAAAAATATCGTATCATATCGAAATTTTTGGCTCAATACACAGCCCTATCAACTAACAGTCAAGTATGCATGTTTTATGGTAGATATGTGTACAAAAGACATTCTTTTGGAATGCTTTGTTCATTTACAAACTTTCTTGTACTAATGCATTTATTCATTAAAATAAATCTCTTTTTTCCTGCACTCCGTATGAAACAATATCGGAAATAATGTACAATGTGACAAATTTATTTTTCTTTTTTAAAATAAAAGTATATTTAAGAAATGAATTTCATTTTTGAAGATTCATGTGGTTATGAACTTTGATGCTTCACGCCGGCATATTTCATGAAGCGCGATGGCGCTTTTTTTAAAATAAAAGTATATTTAAGAAATGAATTTCATTTTTGAAGATTCATGTGGTTATGAACTTTGATGCTTCACGCCGGCATATTTCATGAAGCGCGATGGCGCTTCATGATAAATATGCCGGCGTGAGGCGTTGTAGTTCATATACCCCATCTTTAAATCTTTAAAAAAAATCTTTAAAAGATCTTTAAAAAAATGAATTCATTTCTTATATTTACATTATTTTCTGATGAGTTGCCACAAAATTTATACCTTTTAAGCAAAACAATTTGCACGAAAGTTTTGACATCAAATGCGGTATTATGACGAAACAATGAAAACATTCATGCTCATTCATGGTAGTTCTTGAGAAAATGAACAGTCTTCCTATTTGCAAAGAATCTTAAGGAAAATTATTTGGAAATGTATATAAATATAATAAATGTATTACAGATCATGAAATGGAAATCATAATCTGTTACTGCCAACAACAAGTGCGCAATTTTCACGTGGGAAGTCCGTACGGATGCCGACTCTTCTATGACCCAGATAGGAACGATCGGGTCCTTATGGAACCCTTTAAACAGGAACTTTTTGGACCTGACCAGTTCGAACAGCTAGAATTTCCTCCCTGTGAAACAGACAACCCCGGTCAGGAGGAGCACACTTATAAACTTCTGTCGGCGTTAGACAGGGGGATGCTTCTGGAGTGTCATGACGGCAAAATCTACGCCACGCGAAAATCGAGGTCGGTACAGTAGACTAGATTAATGTAATCTCTTAGTAAAGTTAAGGTTGAAACTTGAACAAGGCACGTTTATTTAAATATTTTTTTTTTTTATTTTTTAAGTGCATATGTTTTTTTTTTTTATCAGATGCGTAATATTTATCTCCTCTCCCATCGTAAACAATGGAGAACCCTTTAAGCTGGAACGAAATGAAAAAGTACAAGTGTTTGATTGCCATGGTTACTTTGAACCAATGATACACCGCTACCTGGCGGGCGCTTCTGGCAAACCACAGGCCCACTTTATGATTGGATTTGGTCAGAGACTGATGTCCAGCAAATCGGACCACAGTGGTCTGCTTATTTCAGCACAGGTGTATCACAGCCGAGCCAAATACCTGCTAAATCAGGTAGGCCCACAGAACATTTAGTCTGTTGTTTTGACGAATCATTCTCGAGCAAGTAAATTGTATTTGATAGTTTTCCACCTGTTATTCACGTAAATTGTTTCTTTTTAAGGTCTCCTGCGCTAGTCCCCTTTCATCGTCTCTAAAATTTTCACATCCTGACGATTTTGACAAGCTGTTATCATACCTGAAACTTGGTGGCAAAGACGAAGGTAGTGAGCATGTCATGGAAACTTGAACCCAGACTTGGAATATGACGTCATTTCCCTGATAGACAATTTGTTTGTTTAGTTGGGTTGTTTGTATTGGTTGTTTTTGTTGAAGAGTTAAATCTCCCCTAAAATAAAATGAAAATATTTGCTAGATAATTCACTGTTAGAATTTCAAATGTATGCAATTTAGCAAAAAATTAGCCTTTGCAGTGTGAAATCACGCAGAAAAAGTAAAATCATGCAGAGATGGAGATCGTGCTTTTGCTTTGCAGTTTGATAAACCGTCGCTTTAAACTACTGCACCACCTGGTCAACTGAAAAGTAAAAAAAAAGATATTTCACACTTCATTCGAAAAAAAAATTGGATGTGCTAATACATGTACTTTTAAAGTAATTGTTTTCTGTATAAAATTTGTTGATGTTTTGTATTTCTTTCAATCTGAAGATAACAATTTCAGAGAAAACCGAAACTTTAAATGACAAAGAACAGAAAAAACATTAAAAAATAGATATGTGTACATATATATATATATTCAGAGTAACCTTAGTTCCCCTTACTTCATTTGCTGTTATATCTAGCGGAATTAACGTTATACAAAGAAGATGAAGTTTAACCATACACATGTATGTAAATTTCTTTGCATAACACAGCTATTTTTTTGTAACTGTTACAATTGTAGATTAACAACTTTGAAAATAAAATATGAATTCCAACCACGTTTTTTTTTAGATTCTTTACAACACAAAATCTAATTTCAGTCACAAAATTAGAATTGTTGTAGATTTTGTCAGGGAACTATATACTAATAGTACTGATTTTGTTGACCTGTACATTTTACATTTTGCTTCATTGTATCCATATGAATTCAACTACCCTTTATTTGCGATTCAATAATATAGAATTTGACCTTTAAAAGCAAAATCTTAAGGGTCTTACATAGGCTATAAACCGTATAAAGAGATGTGGTATGTAATTTGATCGGAAAAGATTTATGATATTGTCAAGAAGTGAAAGTGTTGCAAAATATACAATTTAAATTTGTGAACATAAACGTATTTACGCATTAGAAGTGATTTATAAAAAGCCATTGAAGAAAGTACAAAGAAAATTTGTTTTTACCTTGAACAATATTTGTGAAGTATGAGTTTTGATCTTCGGCCTTTTTTAGGCCATGAGGAGTTTTGGTTTAAAATTTCATTGCGATGGCTCTTAGACTTCTATATCTATAATTAAAATATATTACTCGGAAACGAAAGTATTTCACCCTAACTGATCTTGATCCTTGGCCATTTAACCTCAAGTTCGGTAGAGTCTTCTTTAGACATTAGGGATTTGTGATTTATAAAATTTCAATGCAAAAGTTCAAATTCTTCTTTAGATATTACCAGGAAAAAAGTGTGCAAACAGAATGCATGAATTTATGACCTCGACTTTTGACCTCAAAATCCGTAGGGATCTTTTTTATTGGAGACAAAACTTTTTGTGAGGAGGCACATGATTGGAAGAGAAGCGGCTCACACGATTAGGTGTATTAGGAAGAGCGTACAAGACAGCAGCAAGGAGACTGGGAAAAGCAGCAGAAAAGTCAACCTGGATATGGCACCGCCGAGATCATCTGTGCTGAAAGTCGAGATCCATCGGGTAGTGGATTGGCCACCACTGCTGACCCATCAACTGGAGGATGTCATGGTTTAGGGTCGAAGCATCCAGTGAAGGTTGGAGACCATCTGATGACGATTAGAACCGCACGCGAGCACCAGGGGCGGAAGTTACAGATAGTTACAGACATGCTAAAGAGTGTCAATTAAGCTGGCAATTAGCAGAAAACCATCTTCAGTAAGTGAATACTATTAATCCAGGAAACCTGTGACTGCCTTGAAAGACTGGGGAAGACCGGAGACACTGGAGAGACAGGTGTAGTCTGGATAGTCCGGGTACCAAGGGACAGCTTCCTTTTGTACTGTTCCTGTGAGGGGATACCGAAATTAGCTACGACGGAACAAAATGAAAAACATCCCCAAAACCTCCCGAGAGGGGGAGGATGAGAGACTTGAACAGGTAGTTCAAACGGTTACGACAAGGAACAACCCATAGACTGTGAGAAGGATGGTTCAACTAACATTAGATGGAGGACTGGCTGAAGTCAGATGAACATGTGGTTAAGTGTGCAAGAACATCCGAGGACTGAAGGTAAACCAAGCAAGAAGTCGATGTGGTAGTATGACAACCCAGACACAGCGCACAGAACTAACTGGTGAAACGCAGGAGGATCCTGTCCAGGACACAACCCACAGAGCCAGGAACCTCTCCGTGTCTAAATCGTCCCAGAACAGCAGCAGCAACCTGATGGAGCAACTCGGTCTTCGAAATAACCAGAGTCAGCAGACACAAAGAAACGACAAGGAAAAGAGGCCAAGAATATCAAGGCCGAGAAGAGATGATGAAGCAGTGTGGAGTGGCTTCGATGAAGATTTCAGCATGATCCTTGAGTCAACAATGCAAAGAAATGCAGAGAGGAAGATTGATGTACTTACCAACATGGTGAATATCATTGCTAAAAATAGGTTTGGGACGGTGGAAGGAAAGGCAAGAAATGAGAATAAACAGCAGACCCTAAATAGACGAGAGCGAAGGATTAGAGAATGTCGACAAGAACTAAATAAGATGAACAAACAGTTTAGAAGATCGAAGGACTGGAAAAAGCAGGAATAGCACAGTTGACGGATGGCATCAGATCAGAGCTATCAAAGCTACGGAGAGCGGAGCAATTGAGGAAGAGGAAAAGAGAGAAGAGCAGGGCAAAGTTTATGAAGAACCCATTTAAGTTTTCAAAGGAGCTTCTAGACAAAGAAAGATCAGGGACTCTTCACTGTTCAAAGGAAGGAAGGAAGTGGAGGTGTATCGAAATGAGACTCACTCTGACCCACGGAGAGAAGAACCACTCGGCAACTGCCCTAATAAGGTGATAGTGGATCCACAAGAGGTTGAGATGGATATTAAGGAGCCTACATGGAAAGAATTGAAAGAAGTGGACAAGAAAACAAGATCAGACTCAGCTCCCGGACCAAATGGGATACAATACATAGTGTATAAGAGGTGCCTAAAGTTACTGAGGTAAGTAATTTGGAGAAAAGGGTGGATACTAGTAAGCTTGAAAGAGGCAGAGGAGGAACTCGAGGACAATCAACCAGTTTAGGACAATATCTTTGCTAAATGTGGAGGTGAAAATATTCATGTCAGTGCTAGCAAAGCGAATATCAGGGTACACATGGTGGAGAACAGAAGTCAAGCATACCTGGGTACTCCGGATGCATAGAACCCAAATGTGTCATGAGTCAACTCATCAAAGAGGCCAAAGACGGCAAAAAAAATTTTGCAGCAGCGTGGTTAGACTTAGCCAACGCGTATGGATCTGTACCCCACAAGCTGATTGAGTCGGCGATGGAGCGGTTCAGGGGATTGTCAAGAGCTACATCGGAGGAATGCACATCCGGTTAACTGTCGATGACTACACTACATCCTAGCAAAGAGTAGAAAAAGGGATAGTCACAAGATGTACAATCTCTCCGATCCTGTTCGTAGTATAGGTTTGGGGATGGTGAGCAGGACTGCAGAAAGAGAAACAGAAAGGCCAAGGATGGACTCGGGAATTTATCAGCCACCAATCAGAGGCTTTATGGATGATCTCACTATGACAACAACGACTCATATACAGGCAAGATGGGTTCTATCAGCATTGAAAGATAGCGTTTCCTGGACATGCATGAAGTTCAAGTCAAAGAAGTCCAGATGCCTCGTTTTGAGGAAGGGGCGAATCAACAGAAAAGTCAAGATGCAAATTCAAGGAGAGGAGATCCCATCAATAGTAGGAAATCCAATTAAGTGCTTGGGATAGTAGTTTAATGAGTCCCTCACAGACAAAGATCGAAGACACAAAGAAGAAGCCCCTTGTTTGGTTTAAAAGGGTCGATGGAAGCGGAGTACCTGGAAAATGTAAGGCATGGATCCACCTGCATGGGATCCTACCAAGACTTATGTGGCTGCTTCTCATACTGTAAACCAATTATTATACGCGTTATTTTTTATTCGCGACTGACCGCTAGAGAACTAATCCGCGACGATTTATTTCCGCGAACAAGAGGTCACATTTTTTATTTCCACAAGTATTTTTTGTTTCAAATTAAAATTTTATATACATCCATAAACTACGTAAAATGCTACCGTGAGTACTGCTTAGGCATTATTCAAGACATTGTATGCATTGCGTCCGTTTAAAATCTTATATCCGCCCCTAAAGTGGGTAAAATGTTACCATGAGTATACTTCTTACGCATTATTCACGACGCTCGAATGAAAATCGGGAAAAAATCTAGGAGATTAAAGTTGATTTAAAACTCTCAATTGTAAAAGTGACTCATACTAATTGGGTAATCGACGCTTTTTAAGATCAACATAGCCAAATGGCAATTATTATAAATGGTTGGGACAGAGCAGGACCGGGCCATAATTAGTCGTACATATGTAATTAACCAGGCTATCCCTAACTCGTCTGTGACAATAAATGAACAATAATAAACAAGCTGAAATAAATTACTGACATTTTAATCATTTGTAGACAAATAGATTTAGATTTGCCATTCGTTTTTATATTTTATCTGAATGTTTGTGATCAAATTTCAACTGCTTCTAGTACACTAAAGTTCTTCCGTGATTACTTATTGAACCGTCGGGATCGAAAAAAGGACAAGTAACTCTTATCATACCTCATGGGAATAAAATGAACAACTGGTTCGCGACGATAAATATCCGCGAGCAGAGGTTACTCGCGGAACTCGCGGATATTTATCGCACGCGTATAATACTTGGTTTACAGTATATGAAATTGCAACTACCACAGTCGAAGCCATGGAAAGGAAAATTATTGGGTATCTGAGATGGCCAGGAGCTCCACCATAATTTACATCGATTGGGATCTTACCAAGACTTATGTGGCTGCTTCTCATATATGAAATTGCAACCACATGTACTACAGTCGAAGCCATGGAAAGGAAAATTAGTGGGTGTCGGGGGAGATGGCTAGGAGTACCACCATAATTTACATCGATTTGACTCTACAGCAACTAAACCCAGTTATACGCATACCAGATTTCTCTGTGGTGGAAGAATTCAAGGTAGCCACCGCTTGGTAATGAAGTAACATGACTCAACAGATGTCAAGGTCGCAGAAGCAGGGTTCCCGACAAGGACAGGAAGACAGTGGTCAGCAAAAACATCAGTGGATCAAGCAGAGAGTATGCTATATTTACGAGACATCATTAGAAACACAAGCAATGGGCGACAGGGCACGGGAATGTCACACTTCAAGCAGTTGTCAAAAGCATCAGCATCAGAGAGGTGCACCTTAGTTCAAGCTGAAGTACGGCGCACTGAGGAAGATCTACGGAAAGCAAAATCAACATAACTTGGAAAACAAGGAACCTGGATGAAGTGGGATTTGCCAGAGTGGGAATAAACCTGGGAAGAACTTTGGAGGAACGACCATTTTGGAATCTCGTTCTTGCCGAGGTCAGTATATGACACACTCCCATCTCCTGTAAACTTACAACAGTTGGTGCTAAGCGAAGATCCTAGCTGCAAGCTGTGGAAAGAGAGGGACAATGGCGCATATTCTATCAGGATGCCTAATTGTGCTGACACAGGAAGATATAGATGG